TCGCTTATGGTCGCCCCTCGGTAGTCCGTCGCGGTTCTCTTCTTTAATTGTGTGCGTCTGACAGTGATGCTCGCCGTCGGTAGCGAGCTTAAAACACAGTGGTAACGCGCTGGCTTTGAACAAGGGAGGCGAGCAAAAATCGACGGGATTCACGATTAACGATTATCGACGATTATTAAACGTTAAAATTTGTTATCCGGGTTACGGGTGTGTGCGTGCGTGTATCGTATATGTTCGGGTCGTGTTTTTGTGATATTCTGTGAGCGACGACGACGACGACGACGACGACTACGACGACGACGACGACGACGACACATGGATACGAGTTAAACGTAAAACAGCAGTGTGTATGTGTGTCCTAATATTGGGTAAGAAATACATCGCGGTATGTATATGCATGTACGATTGTATGTAGACGTATACGCGCGACGACGGGCACAATAGAAATAGAAGGGAAAATAGAGATACGCGTATATTTCTCTACATATTGTACCGATGCACCGAATAAAAGAGCATAACGGACGGACTAGAATCGAATAATAATAGAATCGAATAGAACCACCGATACCTACTCGGGATATAACGCGTATGTACCTACGCGCGTGTGTACGTATATACGGCGGGATAAATATATGTGTGTGTGTGTGTGTGTGTGTGTATGTATGTATGTAAGAATAATATAGAGGTACAATAGCATTTTGTACGAGTGTCTGCGCGCGCGCATACACACACACTTGTCCGCTGCCAAAATTGTGTCCTTTTACAATTTATATAGAGCCTAGAGAGTACGTCGCGATGGTTCTGTTCGATTCCGTCGTGCTCGAAGGAATCCGCGGAATTATTGAAGAACGACGGGAACGCGTCCCGTATCTACTTGACGTTTTCCTCCGCGTAAAGAATTGACGGACTCTCGTTCTTACTATTGACTACTTACTGACCGACTTACGTCTCTCTCGTTCAACTCCTATGCAGATAAACGTAAAACGAACGCGGGGACGTGTTCGGTCTTTGATTATTATTATTATTATTATTATTATTACTCGATTCTGCGGGACGTACGTTACGTAGCTACGTGTCTCCACTTATTAGATTTGTCACACATAACTTTTTGTTTCGTTTGTAGGTCGAAAGTTCGAACGCGAAATTTGAACGCGGAACGATGACTCGAAATGAGCTAGACAAGAGGAAGTATAAAACGACGCCTCGAAGCGTCAGCTTAAATAAATAATATAACCGGGTATTGGTATATTAAGAAGGTGGACTGTGGACGAGGATTTGAATGGACAAAATATAATCCGTGGGATGCGTGCGTTACACGCGTGTGTGTTAAATACGCGAAAGGACACGTGTGCGCGGATCATATAAATCGAATCGGGACTGAAGAGTCGCGACGAAGGAGATCGGGCTGATGATGAACAGCCAGGAGAGAAGAACCGAGCAACAACAACGGGAAAGGAAATAAATTAATAATAATAATAATAATAAGTGACCGAGAGAGAAGAATATTCTGGTCGGTGTTATCAATCAATCGATCTATACGTATTACACGTACACACATGTAGAGTGACACTGGTATAGTATACTGTGGGGATATGTAGGACATGTACGTATACCGAGTGATTCGTGTAACGAGAAACGGTACGGGGCAAGAATCGAGTGACTCGAAAGGGGGATATGCGCATATTTTTTTATCCACGTCGTCCGCTCGTCGACTCGCTTTCAGTTAAACTGCTGCGCGGGGTCTCTTGGAATGGAACGTTACTTATACTCTGTTGCGGAACATTATTAAAATAATCGAGAAATATCGTTTGAATTCACAATTATAAAATCGTCAATGCTTGGTTCCTCTGCGATCTTGGCGATTTCTATTACGTTGAGAATAAGCGAGGTGGGCAACAGAGTAGAGATTTTCGAAATAGTGAAATGGCACACGGTATACTATGCTAGATAGTATCGTCTCGCGTCGATGAGAAACCAGCAGACGAGACGACGGACACCCCCTAATATAAACGCGTGTATGCATACGGTGTTGAAACGCAGTTCAACGACGACAGCCCATGATGGTCGACTGGAGGGGCGGATTCACGATTATCGTCAACCTCCACCTCGTTCAAGTACCCTCTTTTCGGCGGTGAATGTTGCTTGCGGGGGCCACGTTGCTTGCCACCGGGCTTGCCACCACCACCGGGTGTGGTTGTGCAATTGACAGTGCCAGTGCCGTTGACAGTGACATTAATAGGAGAAGGAGGTATCGTCATCGTGAATCGTTATCGTGATGACTACCGCGGCGGAGGAGGAGGCCAGCGAGCAGCCCACTACGGCGGTCAACGTGGACGAATGTCTCAAGGAACGGAAATGGTGGTGCTTCTTGTTGTCGAGCATATTCACCTTCCTCGCGGGATTGCTGATCGTTCTGCTATGGCGGGCGTTCGCGTTCCTCTGCTGCCGGAAGGAACCCGACTTCGCCCCGAACGATCCCAAACAGAAGGAACAGCAGCAGAAAGGTCCGGGGGGCCAGAGGGGCGGGAACAGGGAGTTCGAGGGGACGTTCATGACCGAGGCCAAGGACTGGGCCGGTGAGCTGATATCCGGACAGACCACCACCGGCAGGATTCTGGTGAGAGATTATATAGTCTGACGCGTAGCGAAACACTCGCGTCAGACGCTCGTGTGCTCAGCACACATTCAGTCCTGCGTGCATAGTGCGACAATCCGATTCTCACTTTGCCAACGTAAATTTTCTCGAGAGTCTACGCAGTAAGAAATTGAATTGGGACAACCGTTCCCGAACCGTTTCAATCGTATGATATCATTTTCCCCAATTCAGACGCGACACATCATATGACCTATCGCACCTATTCCAAGCTGGCTACTATAAATAACGAGTCGACGTTCCCGTTTTAGCGCTTAACGTGAATTAATTGTAACCACGAGTGTCCCTTCCCCTCTCATCCCCTCTCCGCCCCTCGGCTCCGCGCTCCCCGATCTTTCTTTCTCTCGAATATGTATTTTTGTATAACCGGATAGATGCGGACACAATCTCATATATATGTATACGAATCGACCATTAATAACGAACACGGTATACGATACTGATCTGTCGTTTGAAACGTTTGTTTCAGGTGGTATTAGTTTTCATTCTCAGTATAGCGTCGCTTATAATATACTTCATCGACGCCTCCAGGTAATCAATCAATCAATCAATCAATGATTCGCTATCCTTGTTTCAATAGTTAAAACCCGTTAAGCCTTATAGCCTTAATCATATTAATTACGAGAAAATCGAGTTGTCGGTTGTTACTTAACGTACCCACCAGCGGATGTTTAACGTCGTTTTCGTTCCAGCGAGGAGGTGGAACGTTGCCAAAAATGGAGCAACAACATCACACAGCAGATAGACTTAGCTTTCAATATATTTTTTATGGTCTACTTTTTTATACGCGTAAGTACATCCGCCACGCCTCCCGTCCCGTTTCAATTTTCCCTCTACATATACGTATAGTATGTATTTAAAAACGTTCTGCGCGCGTAAAATCGAATACGAATACGACGAATGCTCGCCGCCGGTTGCAGTTTATCGCCGCCAGTGATAAGCTGTGGTTCATGCTGGAGATGTACTCGTTCGTCGACTACTTCACAATACCGCCGTCCTTCGTGTCGATTTACCTGGATCGCACGTGGATAGGGTTGAGGTTCCTCAGGGCCCTTAGACTGATGACGGTACCCGATATACTCCAGTACTTAAACATTCTAAAGACGTCGAGCTCCATCAGGTTGGCGCAGCTCGTCTCGATATTCATCTCGGTTTGGTTGACAGCCGCCGGCACTCCAGGTTTGGTGAGCGGTTTAAACGCTTCCGATCGCGGTTCCGTCCGCGGTTCCGTCCGCGGTCGACCATATTTTCTTTCTAATCGCATCGTTCCGATGGTTCTCAGCTGGAAAACTCGGGAGACCCGTTCGAGTTCACGAACCCTCAACAGCTCTCGTACTGGACCTGCGTGTATTTTCTGATCGTGACCATGTCGACGGTGGGATACGGCGACGTTTACTGCCAGACGGTTCTCGGCCGAACATTCCTAGTATTTTTTCTACTCGTCGGTTTGGTGAGTAGTCTACGCTATATATTCTCGTCTACTACGATTATTTATTTATACATGTACAAACATACGTGTTGTAATCGATCGATTTGTTGTTTACCTACGTGTTTACGACGTGAGATTACAAAGGGAAATATACATATAAGCAAGCGATAAGAAAAAAATCTGGCTAGGATACTTGGGCTAGGATAATTAGAGAGAGATACCAAGATCGTATCGTATACACTTAGACTTGGCAAATTCAAATGCTGTTTTACGAATTACTATACTCAAACACACGTGGCGAGCAACCATATTATTATACAGAGTAGGCAAAGTGAATAAATTGGAATTGGTAAAACCAAATTAAAACGACCACGTGAAATTACGTAGCTGTACAATTATATAACGTACTACATAGTACGCGTGTCATGTACATAGATAGATTAGCTGTAGTTCAAATGGAAGAGAAACCTGACTAACGTTAAGCCAATCTTTTCTATCTTTCTTCTGTCCGATGCATTTCTCAGCTTTATACTATTTATCTGATCTCTAATCATTTCTATCGATGAGACGGTGACGATGATCGTCGATCTATCATCGATCCCTAACGATCCGTATTGATTATCTATATCGATTTCGAACGGGATTTTCCAACGGATTTACCAGGACATCCTCCCTTTCGACGGACTTTGACTACCTTGTTGGTTGTTACCTACCCGGGACCTTCGAACGACCATGTTTCACGATCGACCGAACACACACACTGACTGATTCCCAGTTTCATTTGTTTTCAATTCTAACTTGCTATTAACTGTTCTACGCTAATCGAATGATAAAAATTAATATGTATACCATATATAAATGTGAATAAACCGAAACCGAAACCGAAGGGAGCACTATAAATATACCGTTGCTAGACTTGTTGATAACATAGCTGTAGATTAACCCCTTCGTTGCACGATAGAGAAGCCGAAGGAAAACGTATAAGAGGAACGCACCATGTTTTTAGTAAACTAGCTTAATTTTTGTTCGTTTAAATAACAGAGAAGAGAGAGATCAATTAGTCCCGAACTTTTCTTACTTTTTCTATTCTCGCCTAACTAGGATAATTTAATGTTGTGTTCTATCTGATTTTGCATGTACGAGTTTAGACGGTGTTAATGCTTGACCTAACGACACGCATCCGAATACCTGCATTTAATTACACGAATTTCTTTGGTTGGTAACAAACCGCGTTGACCAGTCGCTTAAACTTATGTACGGTGGATACAAAGAGTAGAAGAGAGCGATTACACCGATTTCCTGTAATAAACTATTTTTCGCGCAACGATTCCGATTAAACGAGGAAATCAGACCTGTGTATATAGTATATATACATGTATGAACACCGGTTGTATCCACTGTACGTAACACCAATTCTGTATGTGTGCACAGAAGTATATTAAATGAGAACGACGTTGACGATCGGGGAACGAACTCGACCATCCTTCTTATACTATACGAATCGTTAACGATGCATTGAACAGCACTTTGGTTAGACACACGCCTAGGCAACAGCATATACACGTTATTTACAAGTTATGATTTGTATGTATGTATTGTTAATTTCCACAGGCAATATTTGCTAGTAGCATACCCGAGATAATAGAGCTCGTAGGCAGTAGGTCCAAGTACAGCGGCGAGTACAAGCGGGAACACGGAAAGAGGTATTCAAAATCAATCAATCAATCAATCAATCAATCAATCAATCAATCAATCAATCAATCCATCAATTAGTTCATTAATAAATACGTAGACGACTATTCAATGTCTTGCTATTCGTATTCTGACTCTACTCTACTCTACTGAACTTCAAATACTTCACACTGATCATGTTCTATAATTCCACTTCTATACACATAGTAATACTTATAATACCTACCTAACACTGTGAGATTAATATTACATGGTATTTTATAACGTACGTGTAACGTAACATTTTACATTAGATATGGTGCATACATACATACGGTATGGACAGAGTCGCGTATTATAGTACACACGCGAGTGTTACGTGGTAAGTCGATAAACATTCGGAAAAATTTTCATTCTCTCATCAATTATCTCAAATTCAATCGATCCCCGTGTAACTAAAACTCGTCTCACTCACGATCTCTTCTGTCGTGTTTAAGTAACTGAACCCAACGTGAGCATCAAGGTAAAAATTGATTGAAGTGAGACACGCTGTATACATATCTTTCTCTATTTTCCCATCCTCTTCTCTCTCTCTCTCTCTCTCTCTCTCTCTCTCTCTCTCTCTCTCTCTCTACGTTACTTTACTTTCATTAAATTGATCCACGAGCCAAGCGAACAACTAGCGTGAATTAAATGCAACAGAGTAGAGACGTGTACTCGTTATATATGTATACACGGACACATGCTCGCTACGAGTGCGTATCACTTGTGGCATATGCTTGCGTAGTGTGCGTGTACATATATGCGTACATGTATGTACATATGCGCTATATAGATTAGAATTTATTGTTCTTATGTACGTGTGTGTGTTTATATATATACATGAATTTATTGTAGTGTATATATACACGCACACACGTTTGCACGCATTTTGCACATATAATCTGCTGCCTATAACATACTATATATACATATATATATCAGGTATATTATATATGTACGTATATACACACACAGACACCGTAGCATTTACTTAGTATTAGCTATATTATACATGTATATGTATATACATAATTATTATTTGCCGACAGATAGACATAGTTATATGCAATAGACGTTTATATCGATAATAATACACGTAGATGCAGTTAATCAAAGAATTTTATTCTCTACGCACATGAAAGTGTGATTATCGAATTTTGTTTTATATGTATACGGACCCTCACTTGAGCTGGGTATCTAAATTATTTCCGGTCCTGCCCGATCGTAAGAGATAATTATTGGCCAAAATATTTCAAGGCGTGCATCGGTTACTATCGGTACGCGTACTATACTCGGCTGTTTGAGTGAGCACCTACGGTAAAGAGATGTTAAATCGAGGAAATAAGCTACACTCGAAACTGAGTGCAGAAATAATAAATGACGAAGCTTGATGTGTAACGTCGTCGACTAATTACAATTGTTTCGTAATTCCGTAGCATCGTAGCAGCTGAGCACGTGTCACTCGTCGACGCAACACTCCACTATTTAATTCATTCGACTCGTCCATGCAATGAGAGATCTCTTCGTTTTTTTCCATCGCCGTCATGTACGCGCCTTGAAATCGTTTAAGGATGTATTGGCTATACAGTCAATCCCAAAAGTTTATATATTTTAGAAAAACGCATTTCCTATAATTAAAAAGAAATCAGAC